CTCTCTCTCTCTCTCTCTCTCTCTCTCTCTCTCTCTCTCTCTCTCTCTCGGGCAGCGCTTGAATTAGAAATCTCTGTTCAGGCTGCAAATTCCCTGTGGATACTTGTTTGGCCTTAGGAACAGAAGTTAACCTACAAAAAGAGAAAGACAGCCACTTCTTCAGGGGCAGGGGAAGCTCAAACCTTACAAAAATTTCAAATTGCTTCTTTTCAAACAGTCAGATCTGAAAAGTACACGCTAGTCTCCAATAGTGTGGCCTAAGGACGTTGACTTAACTCTGTATCCACACAAGATGTCCAAGGCGTTTTCCACCCACACAGGTTGCTTGCTAGTCCGTGAAAATTGCTTTCAGAATGTGGCTGATTCCTCCTTTGCTAAGAAGTGGCCTGTACTGTTTCCCAGCACCCTGGGGCACAAACGGGGTTGGGGGGGAGACATTGTTTGCCACTCAGCTGAGCTATTATGCTCTGAGCTTCCTAAGCTCTCCTAGTAAACAGAGCAAAGATGCAGCTCCCTTCCTAACCAGAATAGCAGCACTAACCCCACCCCACCCCCACACTCCTGTGTGCGAGAGAGGTAGTCTGGTGCGGTGAGGCTGTCAAGGTGTCTGGGTGAGTTTCTTGGTCTGAGTCTGCCCCCTGCAGGTTAATTTGGGTAATTAAATTCACAGTTTAATTGAACAGAATTAAATTCAGTTCAATACCGCAGCCTTCTTGCAAAAGCCCCCTTGTCTTTCCGAAGAAGGAAGTGGATCTGGGAATTTCTGCTGAAGCCGGCTTTGGGCTGAGTCACTTTCTAGTGGCCATCTTTTTAGAGAGGCCATCTCTCAGCCTCTTCCTTTGCTCTGGAAATAGCAGAGAAATAAACTGATTCTTCGTCATGAAAAAAAATTCAAAGTTTACACGGAGATTATGCCGAGTCCAAACAACGTCTGGTTTCTTTTAAAATTACATTTTCTTTAATTAAGAATAATTAATGCCTTACAGGGGATGGACAGATGGCTCAGGGGTTAAGAGCACTTACTGTTCTTGCAGAGGACACAAGTTCAATCCCCAGCACCCACATCTGTAACTCCGGTGCCAGGGGCTTTGACACCCTCTTCTGAAAGGCACGCATGTGGTAGGCAGACAAAAACCACAAATATAAGTTAAAATAAACATTTAAAAGTAATAATTAATGTTTTACTTAGCATACGAAAAATGGGTTCCCCCTACACTATGCTCCCCACTCCCCCAAACAGCCCCTCTTCTACTTTTACGTCACAGTTGTGTGAGGGTATGAGATTTTAGAGAGGGAAAGTGGAGAACACACACATGTAAGCAGACGTGCGCGTGTGTGCACAAACACACTTGCATGCTGTCTGTCTGGGGCTTGAACTTGCTGCATGGGGTGGGAGTATCACTCATTTCAGGCGACAGGCCACAGCAGGAGTCCAAAGGCAAAGTTTGTCTTGTGTTTCCCACAAGGCAAAGGAAGGCTCAACTCTTAAAGGCTTCTAAGGCAGAGTGTGGGCTGGAGGGAGCTGCGTTGTGAGGAAGCAGGTTCAGTTAACATGTGACTCATGCAGCTTACGTGAGTGATGAGTACAAAGGCCCTTGGGGGAGAGTGGGACCACAGTTCAAGCTGCTGCGGATCCCAGAGGCCACTGGAGGTCTGGGCCCTGCCTTCTTTGTTTGGTCTGCAGGACCTGGATACTCACTCTATCCTGTGCATTTGTAGTAGAGTTGAAGGAATTCGTGTCTGCCTTTTACATTAAAAAAAAAAATAGTGTTTGCCTTAATTCTTTGAGAGTTTCACGCAATGTCTGTTGATCACAGTCCCTCTCCCCTTCTCCACAGGACTCCTCCCAGATTCCTCCTCGCTACCACCCCCACATAGCAGGAGAGGGGTGGAAAGATTGCTGTCCTCCGGCTCTGGGGCTCTTCCCGCCCTTCTTCTGCAGTGTTCCCCGGGCCTTGGGTGCAGGACTGTGTTGTGGATTGGTTGGTGATGGGCACCCACGAGTCTGTTGCCCTCTGCATGTTAACCAGGTGTGGGTTTCTATGACAGTCTCTGTCTGCAGCAGAAAGAAGGCTCTTTGATGAGGGGAGAGCTCCGCTTAAATGTCGATGAGAGGTTGAACTAGGAAGTTAGAAATGACTCTGCTTTAGGAAAGTGGATCTCCTGAAGCTCCTGGTGATCTTTGTTTATACCCAGAGCAGAATGCAGAAAGCTGACTGGGCATCCTGGGGAGGAGACTGATCACTCTGGCTTCCCCCTGGGGGGATCTGGATAGACGATCAATTGTCAGCACCTGGCCGAAGTCAGTGTCTTTGGTCTTTTCGCTCTACCGATGGAATTAGACATTTCGAGATGCTTGTACAGAGTCTTGCCTGGAGAACACGAGACTTGCTTCTCTGTAAAGTGTCACTCAGCCCCTTCTTTTCAGGACGCTAGCAACACTTCCCTTAGTGACTTCTTCTAAGTCTTGGTCCCAGGGGCCTAACTTTTCTAACTTATTCATGTCATCTGCTTCCAAGATTTGGGGGGCAGCGACAATTGTCTGGACACCTGGCCTAGGGAGGGGTCAGGAACTCTCATTGTTCTTTCTTTTTCTTAGAAAAAGTCATTAATTATGCACTAATTTATTGTGTGTGCATGTGTGCGTGCAGGTGTGTATATTTGTGCACACACTCATACGTATGCCATGGTCAGTGTGTGGAGTTCAGAAAACAGACAACCTGTGAGAACCAGCTTTCTTTCTTGATCATGTGAATCCTCTTTCTTTCTTACTTTTTCTTCTTTCTTTCTTTCTTTCTTTCTTCTTTTTTTCTTTCTCTCTCTCTCTGTTCCTTCCTACTTCCATCCCTCTTCCCTTTATGTTTCTCTTTCTTTTTTTTTAATTTAGTTTGGTTTGATTTTTTTAAGGCAGGGTATCTCTGTGTAGGTACATCTGTGTAGCCCTGGCTGTCCTGGAACTTGTTCTGTAGACCAGTCTGGCCTGGAACTTAGGGATCCTCCTGCTTCTGCCTCCTGATCCTGGGATTAAAGTTGTGTGCCACCGCCACCTAGCTCATGATCTTTTCCTAAATTGAGTTTGAGCCAACTTCACTGCTCTGCCCTGTACCTAGTCCATCTTTTTGCCTTTAAAAGCCTTCTTGACAATGAACTTCATGTATTGTCTGCATGTGGTGTGCAGCATGTTTTGATGGGTGGTTACAAGGACAAGTCATTATTACAATTAAGACATGCATAAGCTCCTTCCCTAGTCTGTATAACTCACCACCTGACCCCTAAGACAACAGATCTGCTCTCTTTCTACAGACCATCTTGCTTGCCTAGGGTTCAGGATGAGTCGAATTATGCGCTGCACCTGGGGTGAGGGTTGGATTGTTTGTTCAGGTAGTCTAGTAAATGCATGGTGTTGTATTACTGGTGTTTCTATTTTCCCTCACAGCTGGAGAAAATGGTCAGGGGCTTTTTCGGTCACTGTCCTGTCTTCTGGACCAACAATGTGAGATACTTCTTAGCCCATTTAGTAATTAATCTCATCTCTGTTTAATTTGGGATAAAGGAGCCAGGGTTAAACCACTGGAGCCACTTGGTTTTTTGCTGTTTTTTAAAAAGGTTTATTTATTTCGTGTATGAATATTTTGCTTGCATGGATGTCTATGCACCACATGTATGCAGTGCTCACAGAAGTCAGAAGAGGGCAGCAGATCCCCTGGAAGAGATGGTTGAGGTCCCCCAGGTGGGTGACGGAACTGAGTCCAGGTCCTCTGCAAGAACAAGTACTCGTAACCACTGGTCCATATCTCCAGCCCCAGCGTGACCACTTTTGTCCTCAGGCTCCTAAGCCACAAAAATCTCCTCTGATTCCCTGCGTGTCTCCTCCGCCAGGTGGCTCTGAAGATCTCGTCCTTGATTACGACTCCGTTGATCTTTATTCCGTTGATAGAAACTGGGTTAATGTGATCTCATTGGACGAATCTCCAGTGTGAGAAAGGGCATACGCGCCTGAGGGGGGAAAAGAAGACAAGGGACATCATTGCTGCTATTCCTGATTCTACTATAAAGGTGACAATAAACCTAGAGACTGTCTGAAAACCGGGACTGATTCTGGGAATGAGCTTAGGAAAACTGCAGCCGCTGCCTGCTTGGTTGGGAGGGTCAGCCTTCCACCGCTACCGCAGGAGCCTGCATTTGCCCGCTCTCTAGCCCAAGAGATGAAAATACCACGGTTTTCAGTTACTGCTGGAAAATGAGATAGCATAGACTTCAACGCAGTCTGCAGGAAAGAGCCCCGGAAGTTCTCTGTCTGTCTCCGCCCCCGCCCACCCCGCTCCCACCGAGGAGAAACAAATGTCCGGAGAGGTGAAGTTCAAAGTGGTCTGTCCGGTCGGAGGCAGTGAAAACAGGAAGCAAGGGGCTGGGGTAGGCACTTTTTCCAACACTTGAACTGTGTCTGGAATTTAAGTACTTTTTTTTCTGTTTTTTAAAACCATTTTACTGTTTTGAGAAATTCATTCCTGCAAATAATGAATGTTGAGCAAATCCTCCCCAATCCCATCCTCTAGTTTGTCTCCATCCTCTAATTTTCCCTACCAGTGTTAAGTGCTCTGTTTGTAAATCCACTGAGCTCATTATGCACGCTCTGCATGTGCAGAGCTGTAGCGCCATCTACTGGACATGCGCAGTGTGGACATTTGAGTGAGAACGTAACCCCATAGGCCCTGGCTTGGGAACACTTGGTCCCCGGTCAGTGGTGCTGTTTGGGAAGGATGAGGAGGTGTGGCCTTATAGGAGGAAGTGTGTCACTGGGTGGGATGAACTTTGAGAATTTAAGGATTCATGTCATTTCTAATTTACTTTCTCTCTCTCTCTCTCTGCTTCCTGGTTGTGGTTTAAGACGTGAGCATCCAGTTCCTGCCACCCGTTGTCTCCTCTCTACCATCATGGACTCTAACCCTCTGGACCCACAAGCCCAAATAAACTCTTCTGTACTTTTCTTTGGTCATGATATTTTGTCACAGAAATAGAAAAGTAACAAATAGAGACAGACTTTCAATGACCACACCTTTAAGAAAAGCTGGCTCTTCAGCTAGGGATTCCCATAAACCCCTTCTCCATGGATGCTGAAAGCTGGCTGCATTGATCCTGTGTAGCTCTTGTGCATGCAGTCACAGACACTGTGGTTTTATGTGTGCAGTGACCCTGCCTGTCCAGCAAACACTGTTTTGGGATAGATACCCACTATATCAGTTCTCACAATCATTCTGCCTCCTCACCCACGATGACCCCTGAGCTTTTAGAGGAGAAGATATAATACAGATGTCCCAGTTAGAACTAAGCACTCCATAGCTAGAATCTAAATAGTTTTGATGAGAATCTAAATGTATTTAATAATGATGTTGTTATAATTCCATGTAAAATGGGACTGAAGCTTTTAAGTATGGCTCCAACTTAGATTGCTACAATACAATATATCTCTGCTACTTCTTCTTCCAAGAGCACAGAGACCCCTCAATGTTTACATGTCCAGTAGACATCAGTGTAGGAATTCCGGTGGAAACAGTACTTTCTCAACCTCACGAGGGGTCACGCCTCCCTCCCCCAGGTCAGTTTAGAAAATAATAGTTGTCCATCATTAAACATAAGCCCATCCTCCCAAGCCGTCTGCTCAGCAGCTGGCATAGAGGCAAGGGGTTAGCTGGGGCTGGTCTAAGCATACTCCTCAACCCTAGGGTCTTGATAATCAAAGCTGCAGATGTGTGTGTGTGTGTGTGTGTGTTGTGTGTGTATGTTGTGTATGTTCTATGTGGTGTGTGTGTGCTGTATGTTGTGTGTGGTATGTTTTGTGTGTGTATGTTTTGTGTGTGTGTTGTGTGTGTATGTTATGTGTGTGTGTTATATGTGGTGTGTGTGTGCTGTGTGTCGTGTGTAGTATGTTTTGTGTATGTATGTTTTTTGTGTGTGGTGTGTGTGTATGTTATGTGTGTGTGGTGTGTGTGGTATGTTTAGTGTGTGTATGTGTGTGTTGTATGTGTATGTTGTATTGTGTGTACATGTCTATGAATATCAAATTCCCAGAATTGCTTTATCAGTCCTGAGCACAACCCAGAAATATGGCCGTGTGGTGCTGTCATCTTTTAATAGTTACTGTCAGATTCTCTGCATACTGAAAGTCTCTCTTCTTACCTTTTACAGTCTTTGGCTGTATTGTAACTCACCTTTGTGTTGCAATACGCTGAACGGCTTTAAGCCTTTAGACTTGGTAACTATATCCGAGGAGTTTTGCTGCACAAGAAAAGAAGTTTATGATGGGTAACTCGTCAGAAATCAGAAGACTTGAAGGTCATTCTGGTTTGCTTCCTTCTTTATAAGCCTTTAGAATGCAGTTTGGGAACCCATGCCCTATATTCCTGCTGACACAGTAATTTAAGGAATCACACTTAGAAGGGAAAAAAAACATTACAATCACTAGTCTTTAACATTTTAAATATAACCAAGGGTGATGGCGTATGTCTTTAATCCCAGCACTCAGGGAGCCAGAGGCAGGTGGATCTCTTTGAGTTCGAGTCCAGCCTGGTCTACAGATTGAGTTCCAGGGCAGACAGAGTTGCCACACAGAGAAACCTTGCCTCAAAAAAAAAGAAACAAAAACAAAAATTTTAAAGATAGCTATAGACTAAACTAAGGATAAGGTGGAGGTAGCTTTATTTTGGCTCATCAAGGGAAGATACTGCCCCTTGGGACAACACAGGCATTTTTATAAACTTATTTCAATTTTTCTTAAACTCCTTTTGTTTTTGTTTTTGTTTTTTGGGTTTTGTTTGTTTGGTTGTTTCTGTTTTGGGGGACAGGTTTTCTCTGTGTAACAGCCCTGGCTGTCCTGGAACTCACTCTGTAGACCAGGCTGGACTCGAACTCAAAGAGTACCTGCCTCTGCCTCTGAGTGCTGAGATGAAAGGTATGGCCACCACACCCGGCTTCTTTACCATCTTTTAATCTGCTCTACTGCATGATGTTGGTGTTTGGTGGTGTTATTTTGGTTTGGTTTGGTTTGGTTCTTGAGGCAGGGTCCCACTGTAGCTCTGGCTAGCCTGAAACTCATAGAGAGCATACTGCCTCTGCCTCTTGAGTTGTGGGGTGAGATTAAAGACATGCACTTCCACACAATCAAAGAGTAGACTCTTAATTCTGCTTTGACTATGGGTGAAAGCATGGCCTCATGGGAAACCAGAATATCTTAAAGTTACCACCAAACAGGAAGCCTGGTTATAAATCTTTTATTTATTTATTTATTTATTTCAAAACAGGGTTTCTCTGTGTTGCTTTGGAGTCTGTCCCGGAACTCGCTTTGTAGGCCAGGCTGGCCTCGAACTCACAGAGATTCACCTGCCTCTGCCCCTCCCCCACTCAAGTACTGGGATTAAAGGCATGCACCGCCACCGTATGACTACTTCGCTCTTCTTACCTGTTGCAATCCTTGGATAGGAAAATACCAAGCCAGGAAGCTATCAGTCCCAGTGACTTTACGGAAGGGTATAAAGGTTACCTAAGCATACAGGCTGGCACAGCGGTCCCGTTGGCTGTTGTACACAACTTAGCCCTCAAACTGGTAAGCCCGACATCATGGTCTCTCTGGACATTGTCCATCCTTACCTTATGAGGGTGTCTTCTTCCACAGTGGTCTCTCTGTCTCTTGCCTATTCTCACCCCAGAAGACTGTGGTCCTCCACAGCGATCTCCCTTGCCCTCCTCTGTGATCATGCCCGAGAGTGCCTTGTATTATTCCTTAATGAACTCTGCCTGTCTCCAATGCTCCGTCTCCTGACTCTTGATATCACTAACAACCTCTCATTCCATGTGCATAGGCTATGGTTCTATTTTAAAGGAGATGGGACAGTCACTCATTTCTTCCTCCATCTGCCTTTTAAAGTGTAGGAAACGCCCGAGTTCATTTCCAAATGAACTGTGTTCTTGTACCCTTACAGTTCCAGGAACCAGCTAGGAAGTGGCTTGGAAGGAAACGTTACCCTTCTCCCAGCCATGCATATACTTCATTTGTTTGTGCCTTTGCCACCAGGACTGAAGAAGCTACTCTTTGTTGTAAACCTCTCACCGGGTACAGCTTTGCCTTACTCTTGTACAACTTAGCATTTAGTTCTGTGAGTAATCCATTGCACGTGGGTAGACAGACACTGGAGACTGTGATAATTTAGAGACCGAATCACAGGTCTGGAAGGAGGGTGCAACTGTTGGCAACACTTGCTGCTTGCTCTCCAGGAACCGGGGTTCAGTTCCTAGTGCCCACACGATGGCTTCCAAGGATTTGTATCTTCAGTACCAGGGGACCACGGCCTCGGTGAGCATCAAGCATATACACAGTGTACATACTTACATACATGTAATCAAGACAGTCATATGCATACAATAAAAATGAATATGTTTTAAAAATTAAGACTGAGCCATTAAGCTGAAACAAAATGATTCAAGCAAAGACAAGCACTTTTAGGAAGGAGAATAGTGTTTAGATTTTCCCATTTGTTAATATTGATTCATCATTCTCTCATACTGAGAGCTTTGGCTTGCTGCACACTGTTTCAAGCATTAGGAATACAGGAAGGAATCCTTTCCATTCCCGCTTTCATTCCATAGGACATGGACACTAAACTAAGAAGGGAGGCACAGGTTCAGCAACACTCGTCTGCCAAGCAGACTCCGCAGAACACAGAGTAGATGGATGGTCCTTGCCCAGAACATCATTGGCTTCCTCTTCCGTCCTTTCTGCCGTGTCTTTCTTATCTTATCTTATGTCCTTCTGTAGATCCCTCCCTCATCACCTCTTCTCCCTCTCGCGGTGAACTCTCAGCATCCTACCCCCACCTGGACCTGCTGCTCAGGTCCCCTCTTTCAGACAGTCCTCGAGTCAAGAAGAGGCCACTCTTGCTGTCTTTATTTTGCTTGTCAATCTGTCTCCCTGGGTCTCCTCTTGCTCCCATTGTCTTCACTCAGTTGCTTTCCAAATCCCACGAGTTTAACGAGCCCACTGCTTTTGGTTCTGTGTTTATACTTTGCCCCTTCCTTTCTCGTGTTCCTGTCTCTCACAAGCTCCTGATTTTACGCTATTGCTATTGCTCCCAATGCTGCCTACATGAGTATGGCTATGTGTAGTGGAATAAGAGTGCAATGCTCACAGAGGCCGACAGGTGTCACTGAACTCCCTGGAGCTGGAGCCGTTTGTGAACCACCTGTGCGGGAGGCTGGGAACTGAACCTGGGTTCTCTGCAAGACCTTAATGAGATTTTAACCACTGAGCCATTTTTTTTTCCCTAGCCCCTATCTCTGCTTCACTTTCTAATAATCCATAATCTGGGTACTTGGGGTTTTTATTTTTCATTCGAATTCCCTCAGACAGAGCAAGAGACAACCACTGTGTGGGTTAGTTTTGATTATTGACGTGACGTAGCCAGGGTCACCTGGAAAGGGAATCTCAATAGTTATCTACCTTAGATTGACACAGAGGTGTGCCGGTGTGGGAAAATATTAGTGACGCATCCTGAGCTGTGCAGGAGTGACAAGATGAGCTGAGCACACGCTCCTGTTCTCTCTCTCTCTCTCTCTCTCTCTCTCTCTCTCTCTCTCTCTCTCT